GTTGTTCGTGTGTAATTTACGTTGAGTAGGCTAACCACGTTATTACATTAATGCATGTAAGGTGAACTAGCAAACACCGTCGTAGTTGCATGCGGCTGCCTTCTTGTTTGATGGCAGATACTCCCTTCACCCTGGCCAAAAATGACCAAAGAAAAAGTGGAAAACAGCTAAACATGAGAGGTTTTTGGACAAAGTTTGTGTTTTTTCCATTTTCTAAGCATTGCTTCCAGCCAAAAGTGATACCATATATGCCCTATAGCTGCAGAAAAGGCTAACATCTTTTTACAAAAAAAACAGCTGAACATGAGGTTTTTGGACAAAGTGTGTGTTCTCCATTCTTTAAGCACCGGCACCGTTTCAAAAGTACCGGTTTGGTACTGGTATTGGATAAAACCTAAACGATACCCATCCCTATGCACGACACGTTATTAAGGCGAAACTCGGGCTGATCCCCAAAACGGTCACACAACTGGAAACTCGGCTCAAAATGGGCCAAAAATTGCACAGTGTATGCCCAGCTTACCTGACTCGATGTCAAACTCTTATTAAAATGTGTTGAGTTCATTTTTGAGCAGTGTTGTTCTCATGTGGCTTCTAAGCACCTCCAGATGTGCTAGGTGTAACTGAGAGAGAGGTTGTAAATATCTATTATCTATAACAGCCACAGACAGACAGCCCCCATTCCAAAAAGAGCACCTGTGCAAAATGTACATAAAAACCTGATGAACAAAATGATTTGCAAATACTGTAAACCCCCATTTTATTCATAAAAGAAAACATTCATGGAAAACACGAAGTTGACAAAATATATATTTATAAGAAACAAATCAGCACTTTGAATTTGATGGCAGAAACACATTAACACAAAATACATTTTTCACTCCTATTAGTTTTTATCAGCATGTGTGTTACAGCCAATTAGGAGCTCCTCATCCTCTCCCCCAACCGATCCAAGAGTTTGGGCCTGAGATGAGCATCAAAGTCTATGCAAGACTGAACTAGCTGTTTCATGCTTCCTATTCTCACTTTGTTTTCTACTGCATAGTCTTTCCAGTTCACTCTCTCTGTCTCTCTCCCTCGCTTCTTTCTCTTAATGTCTCTCTGTCCTGTTTAGGGATGGGTACCGGTGTCCGGTGCCATGATGGCACCGGTTCTGACATAAACGGTAGTAACCAGACCGAAAAGCAGCGCACATTTCGGTGCTTTATTTCGGTGCTTTTTTTTCCTGAGCTGTGATACACTTT